ACCACTTCTCATCCCCACTAACAGAAGTGCCATCTATGACACATGATGATAGGAGACAAAATGGCCCCCCTAACAAACAACAGTAATCTGATTCAGACACCCAACAGCAACCTTTCAGCACCAGATTGTCCAGTGCGCTGCATTACCTGCTGCTAGCTAACCTGCAGACAATCCACTCAGTTCAGTTTTGGCCGGGCAATCAGTGTCATCCATCTTATGTGCGCTTGTGTGTCCAGTGAGAGAGAGTGAGTGCTTTTCATCATTACTTTCAACTACATAACTACAGCGAAACCTCCGCTGACCTCAAATGGATTTCAAAAATGCCTGCAATGCATCAGCTCTTAACGCCACGGACGTTCCCATAAACAAGCAGCTGTTCTTTAATACATGAGAAAAAGTTATTTTTCTCGTAAGCTCCACTTCTACAAAGACGTTGTGAAGATAACCTATCTTCAGTTATAAATCATATCTACATCAGAAACATTGTATACATTTTTCTTTTGTTACAGTTCAACCAGAGGTTATCTGTACTTCGCAGCGTGTCTATAGAGCTTAACTGGAGGCTGTTCACTGAAACTTACAGAAAGACTAGCTCCTCATGGAGCGTCTCCTGCGAGCATAGGTTAAAATCCAGAAGAAACATTTTAGAAGGTTTCAGGACCCATTGTTTACTAACTGCAAGTCAGCTCTCTTAAAATAATGTAACAATTTTCTTTTTGATTTCTCATTATTATTCCATTTAACACTACTGTCCAGAAAAACATCAGCTGGGGCATTACAACTTATCTCAGGACTAAAGGTGGCAAATGACAAATTTCTGCTTCCACTATTTACTGATTTTATTCTGAAAGTGCTGACCAACTGGAGTGACTTGCATATCTCCCACTAAAACATCTTTTATGATGCTGGTCTACTTGATACTATTATCTGCACACCATTCCATCTTCTGTTTGAAATCTGTGTTTTTGTATCTCACTATAATTTATTTATGAAGTATTCTGTTTTTAAAGTTCAGGTGCTGCTGACCAGCTAAGCCCACGCTAGCTGATGTTTCCCTACCTTCAAGCTGGCCTGGTCCTTTCTGTCATTCGGCTGCCTCTCCAGTGAGTCCCTTAAAACATTTTCAGTTCACTAGGAGCCCTTTCTCACTAGTACCTAGTCAGCTATTGTGGTTTTCCATTTGGTAGTATTACCTGGTACCAGGTACTTTTTAGTACCTGCTTTGCTGGGGTTCCAAGTGAGCTGAGTAGATCGGAAAATGTGACAAATGGCATCTTGGAACTTTCAGCTGCATAGACCACGTTAGGTGGTACTCTACTGAAGTGGAAAACAACCAAAAACAGAGTAGAGTCGAGGCAGTACTAGTGGAAAAGAGGCTTAGATAAACCAGTTACTGGTTACAATGGGAGTCTGTGAGTGTGGGACGAGTGAGTCTGCAGAGGCAGCTTCATAGATCACCTGGCCAACCTGCAGGCAGGTGAACACAAATCAAGACAGGGAGGAACGTTCACACTAAAATGCATTTACAGAGCTTTTAAAGAGCCTAACCACTGAAGAGCACCCCACGTGCCAAATCAAGATCACCCTCCAGACAAGTCACTCTGCTTCGCACTCAGATTTAATTGCAACACAGGCAAGAATCTAGCACTTCCTTTTTGTGGTCAATACTTTATTTGCACTGTTAACCCCACTGAGTGTGTAAGATAACTTCAACACTTCGACAGACCAAGAGAGTGGGTGCTAATGCATTAAGTCAGACACAAAAATCACTTCGGGGCAGTAGGTGCAATGCTGAAAGTGAAAATGCGCCTTTGATATTAAAGTTGCTTTTTAGCATTTTGAGAAATGAGGCTGAGAAATTATGAACTTGTTACATCCAGATTTCCCATCCTCTCAATAATCATGTGTACATTAAACTGAGAGAGGAAGGCCCAACATGTTAACAAATGTCACTTTAACCAGCATAATACAAAAATGTCAGTGTTCTCCCACATGCCAACAAGTTTTCTTCTGATTTCTCCTCTCGTTTGTCTTTAGTTTCTCCTCGTCTGTCATTTTTGCGTACACTTGTGTAAGTTTAGCCATATTAATCTGAACTATTCTTCACAGCATGAAAGTAGCAAGAGCTGGTGAAAAGGTCATCAGATGACTGCACACCAAAAGTGAAATGTCCAGATAACCAACACTGACCACACTAATGATTCATAGACCACAACAACAGGGAGTAGGCTTATTCAAAATCATGACAAACTGATGGGCACCTGCTCCAAAGAAAGTGTCAAAGTTAAAATAATGGATCAGGGTAAAGTTGCACAGACAGATGTTCATTAAAAATCACTGAATATAGATAATGGGGGAGGGCATACATGGCGACAATGAGCATCAGTGTACAGCTATAAGCACGGAAATTTGATTGCATCATTCTGAGCAGAGCTATCTTAAAATTGCATTTCACTGTATGTGTGGTGTATGCCCCAATCTTAGCCCCACTGTAAGGTGGCAGGGATTTCCCTAGATGTGGCCATGCTGGGACCACCACCAAAAATAGGAAACTCCTCAATCTCACAGAATCCCCATCTTTTAGAGTTAAAAATGAGACAAGAGGGCAGATTCTGCTTTGTGTTTTTAGTGGAACAAAGAGTTTATGACAACGCGACAAACAGATTTACCGGCAACTTGCTTCATGAAGTTTCAAATGTTAATGGTTGTATTATTTGGCTCTTTGAGTGAATAATGCACACTCACCAGCCACAATTAAGACAACTTGAGGGTAATCAGCATGACTTCCACATACTTCAAACTTAAGTCAGAACTATTTAAACGGGGTAAAGGGCTACTCTAAAAAAAATAACAACCATTGTGTCTACTTTAGTAAATCAATCTAAATATGTGCAAAATTAAAACATTCACCTCTGCACACGTTGTCAAAGGGAGGGGAATCTAACTTTATGTAAAAGTCTCAGGTTAGCCAAGACTAACTGTCTCTAGCAAACTAAGTCAGCCTTGCAGCTGGGAGGGGGGCTCAAATTTTACCACAAAAAAGGGCAGTGAGAGAGAGGGGAGAGAGACCAAATAGTGCTGAGCATCTGTTGTGTGTGTGTGTGTGTGTGTGGTCAGGGCCTCTTATCTCTCCCTCTGTGGCCCGCTAAACATGACTAGCTGCCATCTTGGCTCAAAGACACAAGGTGGTAGTGGTGGGGGTATAGCAGCTCCTGCCTCTATGGAAAACGGGAGGAAAAAAACATAAAGACCCAGCACAAATCTACTGAAATGTGTCGCACTGACTAAAACCACAAAGTAAAAACGAACAGAAAACGAGCGCGTGTTTCTGAGGGGGGACCAAGCTCGGTTATTTTCCAGAGATTTAGTGCCAGAGTTGCGTGAGAGCGGCAGGGTGACCATTATGCAAGTTGGCCGATTACAGAACACATAATGGGGAAAGAGAACAGGATAGCGCAAGAAACACACGCAATTAAGTTAAGACTGTACAAAGAAAAAAATACGGTTTTAGTATATGGTAAAGATGTGTCAGTGGAACTACAAGGGCAGGTGTTTAGGACTGCCTTTCCCCCCTTCCACATCGAGTAACAAGTGTAGTCGTAAGTGTAACCAAACTTCGGTCGCCGGATACAATGTAACACAACAAACAAGTGCTCCTAACAAAAGCCGAAAGGCGGAAAGACCTAAGGAGGATCTGTAATGTAACTTTGCATTTTTACCTCGTCAAAAAGTGAAGTGAAAAAAGAAGCAAAGTTAATTCCCTTGCCCAAGAGCTATGCAATGATCGATAACCGTTTCGAGCAGGTTAGTAGCTAGCCCGGGGGGGCTAATAAGTGGTCTTTGCCCGTACACAATGAGGATGAGAGCTGGCTAGCAGGCTAGCTGAACTTCTGTGTCCTAGCGCTGGGCCAACCTCCAGCGGCTAGCAAAGCTAATTAGCCTATCAGCGGTATTTCGCACGTCGTTTCGGACCAGGGAACGATTCGCTCATCTCGTTTTTTTTGTTAAAGTAAAATACTTTCTCCGCCACTCCAAAGCTGTACACGAGTAGGACAATTTTTTCAGCACATTCCAAAGTGTTTTGATAACACAAGGCATGGTAAAAACAACAAGAAAAACACGGTTGTATGGAATGACCGCCTGGCCTCACAGCTTCCCCCCTCCTCTCCTCCACTGCTCTGTCCCTTTCGTCCAATAAAACTACCGACTACTACACATTCTTAACACTGTCCCCTTAACCACAAAACACTACAATTCTATTGAAATCAAACTATTATTTATACTTTCATTGTTAAATGGTGCAATTGAGCCAGTGTGCGGCGTTTTTGGAGATTTCTGCCAAGTATTCTCCGCTGGGAATCTCCCTCGGTGCTCCGCTCATTCAGTCGGCTAGTGACTCACCTCTACGCTCGAGCCACCTCGTGTCTCCTAGAAGCTTCAACACAATTAGCTAACAGGGCTAACACTCACACTTTAAAAATGAACTAAGTTCAAGTTTTATATTACACAGGACGATAAGTTGTCTGAGGAACTGACTCAGAAACTACGAGGCTCTCAGTGTTGTGCTGGACATTTTTCTTTCCACTTTTCAACTAACTAATGGGACTGTTGTGCGTCTGTGTGAGTGAGCGATGCTGCGGGTGGCAAAGCTAAACTTGCTATTGTTAGCATGTCGGCATGGCAGCTACACGGACCTTCAATGACTTTCTACTGAAAGAAAAAAATAAAACAGATGCGAAATAAACCTGCAGTCTAAAACAGAACCTTCCCCGCGAGTTTGCCCTGAAAGAAATGCTCGTCGGTCTAAAAACCACAACTCACTGGGCGGATTAAAGAGTCCGATTGTGCTGAAAAAGTATGGGAAAACTTGCTATTCAGAAAGAATATAAACGATTTTAATTCAGGACCCTGTGTTATTATGGAAGCATTGCACTTGTGCCAAAATCTGTTCGAATTTTTTCTTAAATGCACTCAGTGAAAAGGGACATTTGTTAGCTTACCCAACAAGCTCGGTCACTTCGGGCTCTTTATCAAATCAACTCCTCGTTAGTAGGGTTAGTATCTCCGCTTGCTTGAAAAAAATCCACGGTGGTCCTTTTCAGTTTGAAATATAAATAAACAGAGGGAAAAAAGTTCAAGTTTCGTGTTTTTCATGAATTATTTCTCCGGCGTATCTCGCATCCGCGACCTCGCCGACTACTGTGCGTTGCTCTTCTCTCCTTTGTGTTAATTTCACTCAAATCGAGTTTAATCCGATCGATCCCTCGGCTGGTCGCGCTCCCGAGTCCTCCCCTCCAGACACTCGCTCACCTTCCTCGGCCAGGGGGGGCGCGCTCCCGAGGACCTCTCATACAGATAAACAGGCAGCGTGCGCGGTCACTGACCCGGCCGTGCCCGTAAGTTCTCATTAGGGGATGGAAAAAAATAACTGGGGCGTCATTTAGAAAAGGAGCTTCTGAATAAAACCGTAGAAATTAGGCGTATTTTTAAATATATATTTTAAATGCATTTTTATTTAAAACAAACAAACAATGGAAAACATAAACTCGGTTAGAAACCTAAGATAAGATTCTAAAAAAATTAGAAGGTTTTGGGGTATGTGCCCTAATGTTTATCATTGTGAACAACTTTAAATTCTTCTAATCATTTATATAATATTTAGGTGAAGGTGTAGGTTAGAAAAATACCTGAATGTATATGTGTATTGCTGTAATCTTTACGGACTTATTTATATTATTTTTACACATTCACAACTTCTTCATCTCCCTGTTCTGGGTGAGGGATCTAGGCAAGCAAATGCTCCTCATATTTTACACATCAGGGACTCACAAACTATTGATTAGGGACACGATCATCCATTGGATAAGAGTGATACAGATAACTGTAGACAGGCCACAATCTATTGCATGCTTTGTTAGATACTATTCAGTCACCAGATCAAACAGACTTAATGTCCACGATTGTGCATATGTGTGAATCAGGACTGACATCCAACAGTATGAAATCATTTGAAATAGTCTTTGAGCTGCACATTATTGAACATATATCTCTATAATTGTAATGAAAAGCAAAATGTGTGTGTGTGTTTTCCTGCTGCATCTTGTTTGTCTGTCTTGAGTCAACTGCTGTCTGGTGTTTAATTGGCGATAAAGCTAAAGATAGCGTCTCACAATTTCCCAAATCTGGGATAAACAAACTATAAGTTTTCTTATCTTATCTTTTCTTATGTTATTTTATTTTATCTTAGCTCTCACTGCACAATCAGACAGTCAGATTTCATGAATACACATAACCTGTTGTCCAGAGGCCATGATAGACTGAACATCTATTTGTGACTGAGCATCAGGGAGTTGTTGGTATGACACTGATTTGGAGAAAGCCTCACAAAACTGCACTTGTTGATGGGTCCCACCAAGAAGGCAGTGCAAGTTGTCTTTCTGTATTACTTCATCAAATCAGTGAAAAGGGAAAATCAGCATCTTATATGTTAGCCTTTTTGTCAGGAATTCCAAAGTGTTTCAGATATTGTGACAGTAAATAGGTTTAAAAACATCCATTTTAATGCCCGGCCCCAACACCACATGTCTTTAGGATCAGACTATTCTGTTGCCTGCATTCTGAATTGGGTATTATTTTCTTGATCATTGTTAAGTTGACATGTAGTGTGTGACAAGAGCCATCCTCAGATATGTTAGAACTACTGAAAATACTGTATTTGGTCTAGGAGTGGGTGCTGCCTGGGTACAGCACACAGTGGGCAGGACACATGACGTGCGCTCATTCAACTTACCAGAGAGTTACCTGTTCTGTTCTCACATGAGTGCAATCAGATATGCCAGATGCTAAATTTGTAACATGGAGCTGGCGGGTTAATGTTTAATGCCTGATGAGGCGATGTCTAGAAAGTTTAGTAATTGTAGTACATGTGGGGAAAACATTTGGGCTGCTCTTTCTACATGATAAACAAGGACTATTATATTCTTACATTTTATACAGCATCCAATCTCTTGAAACAATTATGCACATATTAGATAATAAAAACTTTGATTGCAGTAAAAGACTGCAAGTTGCAGCAGGGACATGCTAAGAGTTCAATTTAATTCAGTTTTATTCATATAGTGCCGAATCACAACAGCAGTCGCCTCGAGGTGCTTTATATTGTAAGGTAAACATCCTTCAATAATACAAAGAAAACAGAGAAAACCCAACCATCAGATGACCTCTATGAGCAAGCGCTTTGGCCACAGTGGGAAGGAAAAACTCCCTTTTAACAGGAAGAAACCTCCAGCAGAACCAGGCGTAGAGTTAGGGGAGGAAGACAGGACAAAAACATGCTCTGAAGAAAGCCAGTATAACTAATAATTAAATGCAGACGTGTATGTGTTTTGGGGAAGAAGTAGTTTTAATGCTTTGGTGTTATAGTATGGTTTTATACATGTTTGAATATATTTTGCATGCTTTTATCTCGAAGTATTTTTTTTACTTCCAACCCACACCTTATCAAAGGAATTCTCCAGACCTGCTCACGCTGCATAAAAGTAGGGAGGTGAGAGCAGTCAGAGGAGAGGAGTCATGGAGCATGTACACAACTGGCACAAGCATGATGACTGCAGAGCTTCGGCAGACCAACGGGATCGAGAAACCAGACAGACTCCAAAGAGACTGGCCCTGGAATTGTCCGTAGAACCGGTTGACGGATATGGCGGAGGAGTTGTATGCAGTAAGAAGGCCTTTTTCAGCGAGACACAACCAGTGAAAAGAGGGATTTCTGTGATGGTTGGTGCTAGAACATCCATTTCAAGACTGCTGCACCTGTGCATATATTGTAACTCAATGTTATTTAATGCATCTTCTAAATGAGTTTTGAACTTCTTGGCTCCCGTACCCGTTCATTTATTTATATTTTTTTAGCTGCTCTCCACCTAATGGAAAAGGACCTCCCTATAAACACTTGGTGAATGAAAAAGGTGACTGAAGACTCAATGCATCATGGGAATCCCCCAGCAGCCAAGACCTATTGCAGAGGATTTCATGGTGTTTTAATGATGCACGGCTCTATAGGAGATTAAAAGAAACTCACCACATCACTCAGTCAAGTGCAGGAGACCACCCTGTTTGTATTACATGGTACTTTTATTTTAAGCCAGCAAATGACCTAAAATATGAGGAACCAGCAGTAATGTGGCAACAACTTGTAATTTGCTTATCATAACAATCTAGTCCTCAGTAGAGAAGCACACATGCTCACACACAGACACTTATTCATGTAAATGCACTTTCTTAGGTCTCCAATCTCTACAACTTCCACCTTTCTGGTTAAAAGGTCACAAACTGCTGACGTAGTTTGGAAGTCGCATTCAGCAAAACTGCAGAGAACACGCTGTACTTTGTTCACCAGAAAACACGGCTTCTAAATTAATTTCCACACATATATGCTGTTTTTTCTTCCCCTAGTCTGTCCTTCATCACCCATTTTGTATATATTCTACATGTTTTGCACTCTGCTGGCTGATTTCCAGAGATATCTGAACATACTTCACCTTCCTTTCAGGCTTCCTCTCAGTACATTTTGAAATTCAACATGCAGAGACTTGAAAGTTGCTTGAGTCACCGTGAACACGGTGTCTGTGGTTAATATAGTCACAGCCATAAATGTGGATTTCAGGGGAGAAGCAGAGCACGCCTTACACATACATTTGCCCCCCACTTAAATGACGATACAAAATAAGACGGGAATTTGATTTTGTATTTTCTTTTACATTAATAAAGATTTCCTGAACTGAACTAGGGAAAGGTAGAACATGAATGAAGTTGTTGGGATGAAAAGGACTTATTTTGGGGGTAAATTTAGGAAAGAAAGTTCAAGTTCATTTTTGCCGCAGAGATATTTTTATATTATTAGTTGATTCAGGCTTGGAGGTGAATGATGGCTGTTATAAAGCATTAAAACAAGGTATACTAGCAGCCCAGTAAATGCCAGAGTGAAGCACAGAGGAGAATCACTTTAAGGAACAAAAGTAGCATCAGAAACAAATCTGAGCTGATCTGGGTATATGAGTATAAATAGGTGTGTGGGATGAAAATAATGTAGCTCATTAGGAGGTTATGAGTGACAAATTGCTTTTTTCTCTCTGTCTTCGCACCATTTACCACATGTGCAGTGTTGTGTAGGGAAGAATTATTTCTGTGTGAAATACATAATATTCTCAAAGCCTGTTTGACCTTGGACATCTACAATCCCATTTCTCAAAAAAAAAAAAAAGCTGGGACAAAAATGCACAGCAAAACAGGAATTTTAAAATAATTTATTTGACAATAATACCAGGAAAACATCTTATCTTTTTTTTAAAAAAAGGCCCATTCCAAATTGAATATTTTCTGAGATTGTCCTATTGATATTGGTTACATTTTAACCAAACTAGCTCAAGACTTCAAAGAGCACTTCCAAGTCGGTACAGCAGAACAACTCGAAACAAATAACTAACGACCTTTTTTAAAACTAATACAAGTACCTTCAGGGTAATTTTGAGACAGTACGCAGTACACATTTTACAATTATGCTTTTTAATTATATGCTGAAAGACTATAACTTTATTTCTGAAATAATATATTTATTAAAATTTTCTCCAAACCAACATCTTCACTGTTGCCCCTTCCAAAACTAGGAATTATCAAAGGAGATTAGGATACTTTGCAATGCAGCCCCACTCCCCCAAATACTAATGTGACCTTAATGAAGAATAAAATTTCACCTCATGTGAAAACATGCGCTGGAATGAAAAACAAAAACCGCTGAATCCTTGAACATGAGGGATGGCTCCTTTAAAGTGTGTAAGGGTGTGGACTTGAGGAGGGTTTATTCTGTGTGGTGGGTGCGTCAGAGGTATTACCCAATCAGCTGCAGCATGTAAAAACCTCACTATTATAAAGGAAGAGTGATTATTGCTGACAATGGTTCAACTGCCATTGGCATAAAGCTTGGAGAACAGGATGTATGAATGTTTCACCATTTGCTTAAATAAACAATACATCACAGGTCACATAAGTGTACCATGTATAGCAATGTGGTTTGCACACACTGTTCACTGATCCTGATGATGTAAGTTTCCCTTAGATCCCACCGTGACGTTCACACGTACTGCAGAAGCACTTACCACTCTTAAGATGAAGTCTGGTGCCTTTTGGTTAATCATGGCTTTGGATTTTACACCATCATTGGGTGAAAAGTAGACTGCATACTTTCTGACTCAGGCACTACACCTGCAGCCCAACTGGCAGTCAGGTGCCCACTTGCATGATGTATTTCCCAAGTGTCCCTTAAGATTCCAAACAGATGGACACTGAAAAGTGCTGACTGGGGCAGGCTTAATTATTAAATATCCTGTCACTACTGGAGATAATGAACATGGCACAATCCAGTTAAAATAACCGTGTTGTGACAAATGAGGAGAACACAGTGTTGCCCAACTTTGGGTCCATCTTCTAATTTTCTGTTGTGTTTCATGATCCCATATCTGTCACCAGTCAGCCATCATGTTACAGCTCCTATCAGGTAAAGTGAATGATATGGATTATGAAACCCCGCATCCTGGAATTGCTGCAGGTTTTGCTTTGTGGCAGAAAGAGACTTCCAGGGAGCAATCTAAAAACAGCAAGGAAGTGAGGTAGAGATCCATGAGGTGGCTTTCAGGTAGAGAAAAACCCAAATTAAATGTGGATTTTTTTGATGTGCAATAGGGACTATTCTCTGAATTTTTTATTTGTTGGTTAGGATAATGAGTCTTATCAGTTGTACGTCGTCATCGGCTGTCAGTGCGATGACTGCTTGCTTGCCTAACTTGTCTGAATGTTCTGTTTTCCGCTGTAGTAGACGGGTGGAGCAGATTCATCAGCGGCCCAGTATTTCCCCAATAAAACCCAACCTTTCCTCAGACCTTTGGGAGTTCTTCTTTCACGTGCATCTTTGTTTCATGTCACGCAATGCATTCAACACCATGCTATCCACTCATGCACTCACACACCCTTACGACTCATTATCCTGATGTCAGCACTTTCCCCCCCGCCTGTGCTATTTCATGTATTTTGTTAAATATTAGCAGCTAACCTTGGTAGTTTTTTTTCTAATGAGTTAACTTACACTAATGTCCCAAACATGTTCTATATTCCTGTAAATGAAGGAGTCTGACATTGGGCTCATGCACGCTGAGTGATGATTCTTGTAATAATATACTAGTAATGCTGCTGACTGAGAAAAGGGACTTGTTAGGAATCCATTACCAAAACTTGAAACCCTTTTGTAGCTGCTTTGTGCATGTTTGTTATATAGCTTACTGTACATCTACCTCCTGAGTGTAACTCAATTATAAGCTAGCCATGACTATTTCTGAATAACAGGACTAGAATCATTCTCCTTCTTGTCCTTTTCATGATCACATTGATGTGTAATAATTGTTTGAAATAATTTTGATCTTCAACGTTTTTGTTCACACTAGTCGTGTTCATGGTAACACACAGAGCAGTGTCACACTCTTCCTTGTTCCGGCCCACTTGTCAACCAATCAGCATACGATCTCCAGTGGACGGGAGCTTGTTTGCTTAGGTTGAAAACCCGTTGATGTAGGCCTACACACAACTACAGTCCCACGAAACAAGTGTCAGCAACCTGTTTGCAGGTTTAAATCATTCAATGGTGGCGGTAACCTCCACCAATCACAGACATTGCCGTTTCAATTTAGAAGACTGCAGGCAGAACGGTTCTTCTGTGAGTGAAATGCTTCAGTTAAATAAAATAAGCTTGATATCACGCAGCCTTGTAGTTTCTACGAGAAACCAGGTTTCACATAACTACTTTGTACGGTTACATTATGACTCATAATGAAAACCCATATGGAGAATACGAATGGCATCTTTTCTTCACGAACCTGCCACCATGATCCTCTCCCTTCTTGCTATAGCTGAACTATGCATGCTAACTGATGCTGGTGTAGAATAGAGTAAAAATGTGAAACTTATAAAGTACCTAAATATTAAATGTGCGTGTTATTTGCTAAGATAGTCTGAGGACTCTGATATAAAAGTCACACATGTATGTAGTCTTATTTTTTAAGTGGCCCTGGATTGGACCAACCCTCCATGATGCCTCAAGGTCAAACAGCACAGATCCAAGGGTGCACACGTCCCTGCTTGCTCAGTTTAATGGATAAATCAGACACAGAGAAACAAAATGTGGACGCAGTACGACTTATCAGTGAGAAGTGGCACTCGAAAATAAAATAAAATGATAGAAAATACAACTTTTTTTTTAACACTGTATTTTTCCATCTCCACATAACCATCAAAATGACATTTTTAGAGTTTAGAATGTTTTATTATAGTTTATTGTGATAGCATTTTCTTTTTTTTTCCCCTTCTTTTTTTTCAAGGTTTTCTTTTTTCCAAAGAACAAACACAGCAAATAACGTTGAGGGGAAGGGGAGGAGAGGCAGGTAGAAGAGGGAAGAGTGAGAGGAGGGCCACATAGATAAGATAGATAGATAGATTGGTAAGTAGGCAGATAGACGCATCAGGTAGGTTTGGCTTGATCCTCCCCCTGTAACCCCTCTGGGTCCACACACAACCCCACACACACACACACACACACACACACACACACCCACACACACGTTGCTTTACAAAGAATATTCATCATCAGAAGAAGATTAATAACTGTCTGAATATATCTAGTACTTTAAAAAAGAAAGTAAAATAAGAACACAGATTCACTCGCACTGCCGTGAAACCCAAAACAGTTGTACGGTTAGCCAGGAGAGCAAACACAGCGAGGTTAGATAGAAGGGAATATATGTATGCACCATCTACCTTTGCATACATATGAATTTGTGGGTGCGTGTGTGTGCAGGGTGGACGAGAAGCGAAGAAGAAAAACAAAAACCTAAATGTGGGTTTAGATTCATTTTAAATGCCCCGATTCAAACTGGGCTTCTCTCCAAGTCATATCACGGTCTCTAAATGTGCACGTCTCTCTCACTGTGTATGTGACTCTAGCTAATTAGTGGTCAAATGCCTATCTGCAGATAAAAGGGTTGCTCTTTTTAGCAGCTGTCCAAATCTCTCAGGGGGGTGGAGTTAAGGCAGACAGCTGATTTTGGGTCAGATTTATTTTTTCTTCATCCTTTGTTTGATGAGAAACACAGGTAAACACGATCATTTGGCATTAAAAACTGGTAGAGTGGTATTGTTACCAAACAGTTTGAGAAAGAGGGGAAAGGAGTGAACGACTGAAGCAGTACAGCATGATCATAACAGTAAAACGGTGCCATTCCATCTGGGATCTTGAAGCCAAAAAAACCCCCAAAACAAAACAAAAAAAACATTGCAGCAGCCATCGATCAAGCTCTAAACAGTATACATTATATATCTGCAGGCTAACTCTGGGCGGAAATCTTAGCTCACTTTGACATTTTCAGCTGGAGTCCGTTCTCCACCAGGGACTGTGAATGCCTCTGTGCACCCCTGTTAACAGCTTGTTATCATTCATACTTGTCATTTAAAAGAAAGGACACCATCGACCCTAATATAACAGGGCAGCTCGGTACCTTTGGGTTTAAATGAGAATTGTTTAAAACGCTAAAAAGCTGCTTGAAGGCTCTTTTATTCCATCGCATGGTGTAGAAATAACTAGACCACAACAACATGCCAAGCTTCAGCTCAAAAAAAGCCACAGAAATCTAAAGATCTATATACACACACACAAAAAAAAAAAGCGCCTGATAAATATAGAAAAATAATAAGAAAAACACCCCCCCCCCCAAATCCTAAATTACAAATTAATTTTTCCTAAAACTTCATAACTTCATCATGGTAACCACTGCTCTCGACATCCCTTTATCATTTCAACTTTCCTGTTTTTCTTTTTTACATCTCTCCCAAAGAATCCGTGTTCACGCTCAACAGTTTGGTCTTTTATTCTCTCTCCATGTGGTTTAAAACACTGTAAGCAGTTTTTAGTGTTCAGTAATACAAATCATCTGCAAATGAACAAAAAGGGCACAAGGACAGAGAGAGAACAAGGACAAAAAGCAGGGAAAAGGAAGGACAAAAAGGACATGATTTGCACATTTTTTTATGGACAAAATACAGAACGACTTGGAGCCTCCCCCACCTCACAGACTGACAGTGGAATACTTGTATCATCCCTATACACACAGGCACAGAATGAAAACTGACTCAGCGTGTTGAAACATGTCCTGCTATCAACACGGTCTTTAAAAACATGTACAGATGTGTGTATAGACAAAACACAGCGCCCGCTTTATTCCATATAACCAGCCAGTTAAGAGTGTTTCACGTCTACCCTCGGTCATGTCTCCATCTTGACAAAGTCGACTCACCGCAGAGCTTTGCGATCCTGCGGCACTGAATCATCCCAACAACACCCAAAAGAATTCAGAGGAACTGCTGGAATAACACTCCGATAGGTGTCTAACCAAAATCTACTGAGGAAAAACTACAAATTAGGTGGGCACATCTGCAGGTGAGGCGGACTCTGTCCTCGTAAACCTGCAGGATGACTGGTTGGGGTGCAGCTCCTAGACCTCATGAAAATGGTTAAGAGACTCGGGGGAGATGAGATGCAGCGAAAAAAATGCAGCAGGAGAGAGACAGAGAGAGAGAGAGAGGTTAAACTGTTAAGAGAGCCTGGACATTTCTGTAGAAATGCAAGAGGGTCGGAGCAGGCGAGGAGGAGGAAGGGTCGAGGCTGGAGGTTAAGGAGGCGCGTTCTGGGGCTTCAGCAGCAGCCCCCTCCAGCCTGGTGGCCTCCCTGGGTATTGGACAGTGTGGAGTTGGTGGTGGGATGCTGGGGTCCAATCTTAATACCGTTAGCCTGGGTGGACACAAACACAAAGAGACCAAAGGTAAATAAAAAATCTCATCTGAACAAGAACAGAATAAAGCCTCCATGTCACCATTACATGCTTGTGGGAGGCCTCATTATTTCTTTGTACATTTCATACTGACACCTGTCTGTTTAGTTCAAGCTGGTCACTTATTTTCTCTCCGGTCTACATAAAACATGAGAACCATGACTCTACATCCAATTTAAATACTAGATGGACTATTTTTAGTGTTTTACTCACTACCTCTTCTCACACATAGCACAGACCTGTTCCTATACAAAAGTTGGATTCACTAAAATAATCACAAACTAATTTGCAAGCATGAATAATAAGTCATGGTTGTAAATCCACTAATGATTTAGCCAAATATTCAGTGATTCTGATAGTCATCGCTTGGGCAGGCATTGGATTTTAATTTTTGAGAATTGGGAACTCTGCTTGTTCAGCATGTGAAAACACTGTACTGTGTCTCCTTTGTCAAACCCTATTAGTGGATTTTAGCCCACAGCTAAATAAAATCCACATAAAGTTTCCTACTTCACAGTGGTATCTAGCACCACAGTGTTTGCTGTGTTTATCAGTGAGGCCTCAGAGTGAGAGCAGCAGTGTGGCAGAAGAAAGTAAAGACACCTCTGTCTTTCTTTGAGTGACCATTTAACTTGTAAATATAGTCAAAATCAGGCCACAGACATCACCTTTCAGTCAAGCACATAGTAGAGCAGGGCGAAATGACCAAAAATATTTATCACGATATACATTTGAAAATTTGCGATAACGATATAACTGACGATATAATTGACACTAGACAAAATACTTTACAACTCCACAACTTTATTAGTGCAAAAAAACCATCAATGTATTTTCACTTAAACAAGCAGCTGTTTTTTTTACGTGCATTAAAGTTATATAAAAATTTAACAGTGCAAATTCCTCGCTGACAGTTTAACCAAAAGGCATTTCCAGTGGAAATTGGTCGACATGTCCTCAGCATAACCATGTATAATATCCACAAAACTTAAAAAGAGCTTATACACACACAGTACGGTAATATTATGCTGAAGCACAGTACGTATCACTCCGCGAGGCTGCCTACGATAGCTGTAATTCTCCGACAATCCATCAAGCGGTGCGGGTTCGTAGCTTAGCAAAGTCGTACTAAAACATTTGACAGATTTTCGAGCGCCACATAAAATCGTCTCGAGGTCAGTAAACACAACCAGAGTTCATACATAAGGCACACGGGATTATAAGGGGCTCTGTCGATTTTCAGAAAAATCAAAGGATTGATTTTAAGCGCGCCGTATTTTCCAAAAAACACGGTAATAACGACGGCCCGCTAGCATGCTCTACCAAAAATAGTGCTTTGTTGTGTATCTGATGGACGAAAGCTAAACCAGTTCCACACCACTGAAGTTGCAGCATTTTTACAAACCAGTTCTGGTTCATCAGTTTCATCCAACGATCCGCTTTCGCCCTTCTCATTCTCCGTCACTCCATGTGCGTACAAAAACAAAGGCACTGTGCATGCGCGTTTTACCCATATTCTATCGCGATATTTCATTTTCTTATTGTTGCCCAACGTTATACCGGTATTACTGTGAACGGTATGATATGGCCCAGCCCTAGCGCACAGTGCTTTCGTTGCAGCTATAAAAATAATCATTGACAGCGTGAGAGACCACAGCATCAATTCATCTTTGAGTCTTTAAGTGCTCAGAGTAGAAAAGTGCTAAAGCATTACTAACTGAACCTGGAGTCTGGAGGGGAGGGACGGAAAGCAACAGCTGATGTCCAACAAAGTAAACAGCACAGTTTGGAAGGTAAGAGCAGGTATTTCTATCGGCACTATTAGGAAATATATTTTAAAATAAGCAGGGATTTTTGTCCTTTTTTTTGTTTGCTGTTGTTGTTACCCATTTTATTGACCTATTTGCCATTTCGGAGACATGACAGTGTTGGTCCTGGTACCACTTTACCCAGTTACCTGTGACATTTTCCAGTCTGTAAGATGTCACGTAAAACAAGGCAGACCAGTTTATATTATTCTTAAAGGTTCATGTTACTGCAACATACAGGAATTTAAAGCTGTCACCTGAAAGAGAGTTTAAGCAAACACTCCTTCGCAGACTTTTCGATGTCTCTCACTGTGCCCATAGTGGGACCAGGCCCCTATCAAACAACAGGTGTGCTAAAGCTAGGAGAAAGTGGCGTGTGAACATGCAGCTGAGCTCAGTGAGCTATGCAAGCTGGCAACTGTCGGCAGTAACAAAGTTAACCAGAAAACTTTTTTGGGTCTGAATGTAGTCCCGTGGTGAAGTATGTTTAACAGGATAAGGCTTCAAACCAATGCCTTGATGTCCACTTTATTCATCCAACTAATAGCATCATAGCATCATTCACAGTGTAGCTAAAGTTACAGAATAGAATAGCCCTTTATTGTCATTGTACATGTACAATGAAACTGTAGGATTACTATCGGTGTCTAGCCACAGTTAGATTAACAAATATCTAATTCGCATCATAGATTTCTTCTCTTTTCGTTTTTTTAAAAACACAAAAACAGTCATATACTGTATAGCTCAATGAAATGGAAAAACAGGCCCAGCTATAACAAAAAAGTGCAATCGCAGTATTGGACTAAATAAAGCCACCTCAGAATGACTGTGTTATAGCTTTCATGGTGAGATTAACACTGAACTGTGCCTGTGGGAGCTCCTATTAGATCTCATCACAGAGGAAGCAACAGGTGCTGCTGCGTAGCACAAAAGAAAAGGAAACACCAGCAGCACTCAAGGACGCTGGGGGAAAAAAAGAAAAGCACTTGTAAAAGAAAAGAAACGAGGAAAAAGAGAGGCAGGTGGGTGGTAGGGAGACACTTTCATCTCTCCCTCCCTCTCTCTGTACTGTAGTGCTCACTTTCCCTCTGTGTTTCATCATGTCTCTCTCTGTGTGGCTGTAGCACAGTCTCAGCCTCCCTCGCTCTCTGCCTCTGTATATATTTATCTCCTCCTCTCACTGTAACCCCCCCTCCTACATTCAGTAGCAGTAGTGCCTCTGGGAAACCCTGTATGCCTTTAAATCACATTTATTGAGCTAAGGCCATGTGTGTGTGAGAGTGAGTGTGTGTTTTCTCATAGTGACTGCCAACATTTCTGGTGGGGCTTCCCTCTCTCTCGCAGCCAGTCAGCTGATGTGGTTTGGCCGGCCGGCCTGCCTTCGCTCCGTCTTACTGTTACTAATAACAAAAACACTCTGTGGCTGGCTTCCTCCAGCTCTGCCTGCCCACTGCCTGTACTTGAGGGCTGGCGAGCCTGACAGGCACCAAACTCTGGCACTCTGCATATGTGTGTGTGTTTGAGAACCATTACACGACTTACATCATGTGACTACAGGAAACACATTTATGTGCTTCACAATTTGGACATAACCATCTGGACTGGATAGCCGACTTGGTGCACGTCCACAGTGAACTTGATATTAGCCTCTCGATGGAGATTTACCTTCAGAGATTCATCATGGGGTTGCATTATTATCAAAGCCAATCAGAGCATTGTAGGCAGTATTATCAACTGTGGATGTTACAAAAGCTTGTGTCATGTTTAAGTTTATAACTAAATATGTTTAATAATGTGGAAAAAGATCTTGAACCTACAATGATATTTGTGTTAACAGGTCCTGACTTTAACCACAATGAGTAACTATAACTTGCATTTTTCTGTAAAATTGAGGGATTTCTTTTATCAAGAAAAAAATAATAATGTAATTATTTAGTCTGTATATGCTGTCAGAGCTCATAGATAGAAAACGTGAATCAGCTAAAATCGGTATCGGCAGAAGACACAAATCCCCTTTGGGGTTGTGTCAGGAAGGGCATCTGGTGTAAAACTCTGCCAAATCAAACATCCGGAGCTACCCGCTGTGGTGACCCCTTGTGACAAGGGAGCTTATACTTCTGGGAGAACAAGAAGGAAAAACCCCCACAAAAAAAAAAACCAAAATCCAAAAGACAAATTGGCCAAGAAAATTGCAGTCAGTGCATTTCTATTACAGTTAGCCATTTTTATTATTTATTGTAATTGTTTATTCCATTTTCCCCCAATTTGAATCTGTATACATCCTTCTCCTTTTAAACTCACTATTCAGTGCTGTCACAGTCTATTCCGTATGTTTTTCCATACTTGGAATGTTAATCCTTTTTCCTACACTGGGAAAGCACTTTGAGTTCACTCCTGTCACGCTGTATAAATAATAGTGCTCTGAATTCTAATGAATGGATTCTGAGTGTTTGGATTTTGCACTCTTTATGTGAAATTAGCCTTTCTTACACTTAGTCTTTCACTAAGATGATGATATGAATCTCAATGTCTGGTTCACAAACTTTCTATTTGGCTGGATGGGCAGCTTCCAGTCTGACTGGCTGGCTGAGTGTTTGTTTTCTTGCCCAATGACTGAGACCTTGTGGGATGTGAGGAATTTATGAGCTGGCAAGATGCCGAGAGAGAGACAGAGAGAGTGAGACAGGGAGACTGAGACAGGGAGAGAGCGCAAACTAAGAAGTGAAGAGAGTGTGTGTGGAAAATAGAGCAGAGGAGAGGAGGAACACTGGGAGTTTTGCTTGGCTGCAGTCAAAGGAAGCTGAGTGGAGGGCTTTTTTCCCCTTCTTTTTGAAAGAGAGGGAGCATGGCAAACCACACACACTGCTGCAAAACCACACTGAGGAAGAAGAGGGGAAGGAAAGAGAAGAACAAAGAAGAGAGAAGGCGGCTCAGGGAGGGAAAAAAACCCAACACAGGAGGAACACAGTATCTCACCTCATTGTTGATATCAAACACTCCCTCCTGGATCTTCTCATAGATCTCCTTGGCTGTGTTGATGAAAGCCTGCCATAGAGACAGGAAGTGAAACAGACAGAGAGGACAGGAAGGTTAAAACCATCTTTTTATGCTGACTCCTATAAATGAGCCTCATGTCATTAGGAATGCAAAGCAAATTCAAGTTTCAGTAACATAACCAGGCTCTGACTTTCAGCCATTTACTGTTCAGCTGCAGCCCGAGCTTCCCGTCACAGCTCAAAAACACCTCACAGAACTTTGAAACTTGACATCACAGTGAACTTACCACTCCCAGTTTTATGCCCTCTCTCACATCAGTGACACAAAGCATGAACTGATCTGTTAAATATTCCATATAGGTGTGTCAAGTGCAAGTAACAAAGTCAGACGATCTATATTTAAGTGTTGGCTGCTGAACACAAATAAATTCACAAGTTTGTGTGAGTGGAAAAACACACCTGGCAGGCAAATGATAACCAAAAAAAATCTGTGTTCAATGGTGCAGTCTCCACATGATAAAGGCATAAAATGTCTGCGCAGCTGTGCTTACTCTGGAAAAAATGCTAACTGCTAGGCTAGGTCAGACGTACCTTGACTTCAGCTCTCTATTTAAAGCACAAACAAATCCTTTCAAACCTTTAAGTTACTTATTGGACAACAAACACACTAACACCAATGAATCCACAAGCAGATAATATCAGTCTTAAGTAAATGCATTTCATAAAGTGTTGTATGATTAGTCATGCTTCTAAAATAATGTTAAGTATTTGCATGCTAAGTTAACCCTAAAATTAGTAAAGAAAAAAAAAGTCAACCTAAAGAAAGATTTAAAAAAAAAAGGTGACATCATGCTGCATGCGACATAAAAGCTGCATGTAGAAAATGACAATCTAATAAAATAAACCCTCAGAAAAAGAAACAAAAACAACTTAAAAGTTTAAAAGGCTTCTTCTGCAAGCTATGTTTCTAACATGTAAGCACACAGTTGCATAACTCTGCAGCCTCTAACAGCTCATTAGAAGGCATGTAGGTCCATCTTTTATATTCAGTCTATGCTTCTCACATGTAAATTCAGCGGGAGTTATGTCTGGTGTTTTTGTGTTTTGATTCTTTGAACAAATTAGCTCAAACATGTTAAAGATATCTCATATTTGACTTCAGAGCTACACATTTATCATAACTTGCAATTTACCAAATTATATAGACAGAAAGAAAGAAGAGTAAAATTGGGGCTTTTGGCACCCCTGAGCTCTTTGGAAGATGTTCTCAAAATTGTGTTTTGTTAAGGCTTAAAGAGCTTATGATGTACACTACTACTGAGAAGTATGATTGTTCTGCAAATACTATCCAAGCCCTTCAAGCCAGCTTTGAGAAGTTAAGGCGATATGGCGTAAGACCTTGTTAGAAGATGCAGTTGCCCTTTTGAGCAGATCAGCAAGAGAGATCTGAGCAGAACACACAAGCAGACAATACAAAGTTTGTCACACACACACACACACACACACACACACACACACACACACACACACACACACACACACTTACTTTGGGCTTACTAAGAGCACAGCAAGGATCAAAGATGATTGAATAAAGTAGAATTAATCTCCCTGAGCGACCGGCCTATGACTACGGTATCGATGCATTCGTCTCCAGGGGGAGTCTTTCTGTCTCAAGGGTCCGAGCTCAAGAGCAGCTGGGATAACTAGAAATGCGACACCAGCTCAGATGTCATAACCTTCACTCTATGTAGAAATGATCTAACAATGCCGGCTCATATAAGTAATGGCAGTCAAAACTAAGCCTCATCAGAAAAAAAGGAATGTTCAAGAACTGAAAATATGTCCTGAACTTCTATCTGACACCCTGTCGGAAATAGACTGAGCCCAAGGGTGCACTCTAGTGTACTCTGTCCTCCTCATGTTGTCCTCTTTCCCTTCTTCAACTCATCACTGCACCCTCTTTACCATCAAATGTACTTAGACTTTCTTTTTTTGAGTTAAACTAATGGACCTGCAGATATGTGTAGAAAGTGAAAACAAGAGGGAGAAAACTGAGGTGACTACAGAAGATTTATAGATGGTGATAGGGCAAAGAATAGAGAGTGAAAAACCATTACATGGCTGATAACAGAATACTGGGAAAAAATATTTTTAAAAAAATTAAATACAGTAAACAAGCAATTAATCAGTGGGCAAAAAACAAAAAAAACCCAGCAGAGGTGAAGAAATATAAGAAGAAAGACTGGTGAACAAGAACAGAAGCGAGCAGAGGTTAAGGTTAGGATCTTAGTGAAGGAAGGGTGGGCAGAAGAGATGATGAAAAGGTGCTTACAGCAATTTCTCTCCATCTATCTGTAAGGACCATCCTATCAGCCTCAATGTCCACCCACAGACCCTGACGACAAACCCAGCATGCTGATTGGCTGCTGAATGTCGCTGTGAGGGGAGGCGGGGTGGAGGTTATGAATATGTATGAACTATAACCGGTTGATATACTGCTCGAGAGAGGAGGGGAGGCGATGGGTTGAAGAGCAGGAGAGGAGGGAATTGGGGGAGGATAAAATGAATAAAAAAGGGCAGGAAGACACGTTGGAGGAGGGGGGAGGAAGAAAGGAATCGTGGAGCAGGATGGGGGAGGTAAAGGAGGAGAGCTAAAGAGCAAATGATGGACGTCAAGGGATGAGGAGGGATGGAGCGAGGAGAGATGAAGGGAAGGGTGGAGAGGAGTGGTATCAGGAGGATTCAGAGGACACTAATGAGACAAATTAATCATACCACACACGCGCGCATGCACGCACACGCACACGCACACGCACACCTCCCCCTTATCTTAACCCAAGAGAGGACTCGACTCATCAGTGGTGTTGGTGGATGTGTTTGCATGATATAGGCCAGGCGTAAGACGGTACGAAGGAGAGATTGGGGGGAAATAAAAGCAAAACAAGACACACACCCAAAAAAACCCAAAACCAAATCACCACTGACACCCACCCACACATGAACATACAGCGCCGTGCTCCTAGCTTGCATGCTGCACTGTGTAGGATAGGATTTATGTGATTGGATAAGTGAGAGAGGGGTCCCAGAAGACGACGCCATGCATTCATTACACACAACATCACCAGGGGTGTCTCTCTCTCAGGGGTGGAGAAGGATGCTCAGAGTGCCAACTGGAGTTTGTGATACTACTGTGAGGCTGGTAAGGTTATACACCACCATTGTGATCCTTGACACTGCTGGTTAATCAGGAGGTTTGAGTCTGATGTGGAATTTAGTCAAATGTTAAATCTGTGACACAGAACATTATAACAAGAAAAAAAATTTGTGTTGACTTTTACTAGTGATCCAAAATGTGCACAGACTTGTTTATCATGGAACATGTAAAAACAAATGCCAACAGACTCAATAAACCAATTCGTAAGGCCAGTAATGTTGTGGGGATGGAGCTGGACTCCCTCAAGGTGGTGTCGGAGAGGCGGATGTTGTCCAAGATAAAGACAATGTTGGATAACACCTCCCACCCACTCCATGACATGCTGGTCAGTCACAGGAGCTCGTTCAGTGAGAGACAGAGTACTGAAAAGCACCACTGAACGACACAGGAAATCTTTCCTGCCTGTGGCCATCTCCCTGTACAATCCATCCACTTAACACACTGTTTACTGCTACAACTACACATGTTTCTTTTCAGCTATTTATTAATAAGTGAAATATATATATTGTACTATTCTTAGTTAGCCTATTGTCTGTCTTGTCAATGTTTGTTTATAATGGAGCACTGTAACAAAAAAATAAATAATTTCCCCCAGGGATCAATAAAGTATTCTGATTCTGAAATACATGTGTTGTTGGCATAGACAGGTATATGAAAGATGGATGTCACCCAATGGATTGTAAAGTGCAGGTTTGAAGCCTCGACTGAGCGTCTTCTTCACAGAGAGTGGAAAATCATTTACATGGTGTTTTTTTGGTGTTCTGAAGCCAGATGTGACGAGCCAGGGGTGTGTCTAACTGAGAAACCACGCTATTTGGGTAACAACTTTTCAATCACAACGATAACATCCTGGACAATCTTCTCTTGTCTAACTTTTAAAATACTTCACACTTACACCATGGGCTTGGATGACTGAGACTATGAAGGAAAGGGTTAGTGAAGGTCAGAGCAGAGGGTTGTTTTCTGACAGACTTCTATAAAACCACAAGTCTTATTGGAACAACAGTTATTGCTGGTCATTTAAAAAAAAAGTTATGTAGTGTTTAAGGCTATTGGCAGTAAACAAGTCGCCACATCCAGGGCTGGTAAATTAAGCTATCGTGGAACTGCCGAAAACTTTTTATAGGCAGTTCCAGTTTTCTATTTTATAAACAATCTCGCAATCGCTAAAAAGTATCTTACCTGTTTTTTAAGCTTTAAAGTTAGAGTTGTGGCAACACAGCCACCTGATTGTGGTCTATTAGTCATGACCTCTGGTGGCGAATTTTAAGGAATTATCAGACAAATCCTCAGGCCTGCCGCTTGAGACATTCAAACATCTTTTACTCCAGTTTCTGTACATTTTGTTGATCAGGTTTCTGTGTCTACATGTTGCATCCATACAGTTTTTGTATGCAGTTCTCTAACCAAGATTCCCATTGTTAGCTGATAACTTTGCATTTGGCCCTACTGTCAAAATATGGTCTTTTCTGGCTGCAGACGATGAATGTGGCAACATTACAAATGTTGAGGCTTTTCAGGCCAGAAACCAACTGACGAGGAAGACTGTGAGTGTGAGTTTGCAAGTTAGACACAAAGTTGATTTTGTGTTACTGTGTTTCTGAGCCCCAATAAAACTTTTTACAGGTAATTTGTTAAAGCTAATGCACTGAATGGTAAATACAAGAATATCAGGGGCGTGTAAGAAAATGAAAGGGTACCGTTATATTTTTAGACATATTTGCACATCTTTTAAAAATAACAAGCATTTAAAATTCAGTTTGTGTAAGAATGGAAAAACTGACTTAACTAGAAGATTTACGTTAGAAACTTACAATGTACTTTGGACCTATAAAAGGACAAAGATGAATTGTGCTTGATTAATGTGTTCCACAAACAGCATGAAGTCTATGAATTCTTTATAGGTTGGTTTTCAGCATTTATCTGACCTGAATAGTAATTTTGAATACAAATTAAACCTGAAGGAAAATTTGTTTTGTCTGTATGTTTGCTTCAGAAACACAGCTGCAACTTGGCTAATAAATTACAAATCTTACTAATTCAATGGACAAAATATTTTTCCATCCATATTGTTACTTTGGAGATTTTATATATCTGAGAAAGGAATATATGATTATGCATGAAAATTCCCAAACTGGGCTGAATGCATAGACTGTATATACAAGATGGCTGTAGCTATTCGTTGCAATCCTGTAGCTAGTCCTGTTGCAGTGCTGCAATGTGAGTGTTTTGGCAGTTAAAGTCTTGGTGTCTGGACACTGAGCAAAGGGTGGGTTCTGACTCAGAAATTGAGGGACACAGCACACCCAAGAATCAGTAACAAGGTAGGTCCACCCTAAATCATATCCTTCCTCTCCCTTTTAACTAAATGTGATACAAAACAACAAGTATGGTGTACACAAAAAGATCAGAATCTAGACCAGATTGAGGAAGCTGGGGGCCATTTTTTAAAAATATATTTCTATAAAACTAAACTCCTTAAAAAAAAAAAAAAAAGGAAAGAAAGAAAGAAAGAACTCTCCCCCTGCTGGTGATTAAAAAGAAAGCAAGTTAAAGACCCTCCATGTTGGCCTCACCAGCAAGTTATGCTGATTTTTTATATACAGTCCATATGTGATAACATACTCACAATAAGCAGATATTTAGCAGGGCTATCACCATCTTCAGATGAACCACCATCACAACCAGCTGACTGTGATTATAAAGACTTCCTAAAATATATTCAAATATAATGCTGACCTCCAAGGCAAATTCCTAATTCAGATAAATAGGTGGTGAAAGCTGGTAGGGTTGCGTGTATGGAATTACCTCCTCTACATTAGAGGCAGTCTTAGCTGAGGTCTCCATGAATATGAGTCCATGTTCTCTGGCAAATGCTTCACCTTCCTCTTTCTTCACCTCTCTCCTTGACTCCAGGTCACTAAAACAATAGATACAATCAATTATAAAATGATGTAGCAAGCCATGAATTACAAACTAAATTGCTAGGCAGTTCAGTGTTGGTCACGTGTATCCTTATTTGCTACAGGATTACTGATTTTACAAAAGCAGTTTTGGTAGAAATTGCAGAAGATCACTTTAAACTATGTTTTTTAAAAATGAAGCACCCTTGTAGCCAAAGTCATTACAACTATAGCGTGCAACTGAATTTTCTCTGGGTCCATTCTTGTCAGGGGCTTGTATTTTGTGTACTTCTGGTAACTACTCATTTAAGAAAAATTAAAGCCATTATTTCCATTCTGCATCAAAATGATGAGAAATATAAATTAAACAAAAACAAATTAAACATTTTATGCTCTCTTTGTAAATCCCAAGAAATCTGTACCTACATTTGGCTTGTCTGTTTACTAGTGGGATTATTTAGAACGTCATGGATGGATTTACACAAACATTTTACCAGACACTGGGATTAGCCCAACAACTCAGAAGTGATTAGATTTTGGAGTTGATCTGGATAAAGATCCAAGACATTTTGGAAGGATTTTATTTTATTTTATTTTTTTAAACACACGGCAAAACCGGACATATAACATATATCAAATGAACATTTTCTTGTTTGAAAACTTATCCTCAAGCTCGTTGAGGTGACTGATGTTGTGGTTTGGGACTATATAAATAAAATTGAATTGAATTGCTACTTCATGATATCATGAAGCTACTTTAAGGTCTTGACTGGGAAATGTCTAGCAGCAGAGAGTAAGAGAGTAATGCCTTCTGCTTTTAGGTGGCTAACTTACTGCTAGCTTAGTGTAGATTGCCGTTTTCTAAATTCAACAATTCCACCTCAGATCACACAAAGTAAATGTCTTTTTAAACAGCAGAGTTAATGCCAATGTGTCTGTAATTGTATCAAAAGCTACATTTTTTGGAAACTGTCATTTTACAGAATATGAGTGAGCAAGCAGTTTGTTCAATACCAGCTGAAGAGAACTGTGGAAAGAAACTTCCTCATGTAAGTTGTAAATATTAAAGCACATTTAGCAATGGACGTCACTTGTTGTGACAAGTTTCTTACATGGTGGTGTGTTATGTAAGCTTGAGCACAGAGTGTGTCTGGGGGAGAAAAGCAGAAGTGACTGAATTACACACTTAGTGACAGTGTAAAATTATGACCAGCCTCAGCCATAAAAAACAAAGTCAGACAAGTCATCGTTACACAGCAACATGTTGTAAAACACACTATTAATGGTACAGCGTTATGTAGGGCAGTGGGCAGCCATCACCGTAGAAGGGGGGAGGGGGGCAAACTAACAAACTAAAAAACATGTTACCTCTTGTTGCCAATGAGCATGATGACCATATTGGAGTTGGAATGTTGGCGGGCATCCTCTAACCAGGTCGTCAAGTGGTTGAAAGTGTCCCTTCTGTTCAAACGAGCACAGATTGATGGTTTCACTATGACTGCATTGAGATCAAACTGAAAGCATGCCAGATAAAGCAGCTGTTGTCACGCAGACGCATAAACATAACTGATTTTACAGATCTGCCGTTTCCTTTTAAATTGGTGACTGATGTGTGTGCCACTTCCTCTTGCAATTATGCCAACTATTTAAACAGAAAACTCCCTCATCCTGAAAAATATACATCTACCTCTGTAACTCCTTTATGCACATTATTCGCAATAATTATTGCTTCAGTTTAATTTCTTACAGGTGACAAATGTGATGGGAATACATCTCCAGACAGTTTTCAACTCTTCATATACCTGAGCACTAACAGATGAATTGTCATTCACTAGGATTGCTGCTTTTATTAGAGTATCTACAGCAAACACATGAAAGGAAACAAGAGACGAAAGAGAGACAGATCATCAAAGCTCGATTCGCCAGCTGGTTTCAAACACAATGCAGTTAATGGTCAGGGCCTTTAAAACACACCAGTGCACCTGAATAAATGAATTTTCTTTTCTTAATTTCAGAAAATTTCATTCATACAATCAACAGGGTTGGAATTAAAACTTAATATATAATAAAAATGTTCTGATTTAAAAAAACAAAAAACAAAAACACTTCGAGACAGTACAACTGGCACTAAGACTGAGCTATAAACTACTGCTATAATGAATCTTTATCACCGTATCACAGTTGACAGGATGTCATTACATATCTGACCCCACACTGGCCTTTTTTTCCCGGCTCATCCTATAATTTCCAGGGCTCGCGATTTTGCGAGCTCTGATGTCTGAAGTCTCTTCAGTGGACTCCAGTTTCCCAGTTCTTAATAATACTTGAATGAAAAACAAAATCTGTTCTGCTCATTTCCAGCATTTTATTTTTCACTCTACTATAGCAACTCTGTGAGACTCAACATTCAAAATGATCCTTATTCAGCTTGTAGTAGGCCTTGGTGCATTCTTTGTCTAAAACAAGCATTGAACCCTTCCCCCTTTACGGCCACCCTCCCTTAAAGCCAACTGTTTTCTGACTGACCCTTGTAAACATTAGGTTTGGACAGCAGGTGGACATATGCCTGAGATGAGTGTATTAGGGATATTGTCACAAACATTACTCAAAACTTTTGCCAGTTTAATGTGAGCGTCTACCATTGCAAATGTGTTTATGTAACAGAAAATTCAGGACTACAAAAGGGCTGACTCCATAGTCAACTGACTGCAACTGCATATAGAATGTCAGAGCTATGAAGGGTAGGATTCTTCCACTGGGGATCATAAATATTCCAAAGAAAACAGATTATCATGAGTTGGTGGAGTGGAAATCCTGAATGAATTACCCTGGACAAAAAGTCATGGGACAGAAAACATTTAACCCCTTAAGAATATGAAACTCAATCATCACAATTAAAGGTAATTAAACTAGTAAATGACAATATATATGTTTCTATGGCTCACAGTGTTGAACTGCCGGTGGGTTTTAAACAGCTCGGCTAAAATGCGCTACCGACTTTGGCCATCCTTTCTTTTTCAACAGCAGCATGATGATTTTTACACTAGTATCTTTAGAACTTTTGGATAAATTAAGTATTAGGGATACCTCTTTCAACAACATCTGATCTAGCCTCATTGCTAGTTTCTTAGCTCGCTAAGGTCACTTCCATTTATCAGTGCTGTAATTTAACTTTCAGGGATAGCTGGTAAGCCAGCAGATGACAATGGTTAGCATTCAACACTAGCAACTAACGGGTGACGCCAGTCATTTATATACAGTCTACGATGATATCACAACATGCTCATAACATACAAGTGGAGATTATCCATAGTGAGGAAAGGATGCTTGTAATGTGACTGTAGTTCTACTGCGGTTCATCTCTATTGCATTGTGTCTTATAAACACTCAGCTAGCATGTGTATGATTGACTGATGGATTGTTACTGTGACCAGGAGATATTTTATTTTGTATTCTTATGATCACAGTTATAATCAGAAGTATCAATCATTAATCATTTACCATTGTTGAACCAGTTGACAGAATAATCTTTGAACTACATCTATGTTAATATTAATCTACACAGATTATCAGTACTTTAATCAGTCTATTGTTGTTCGGCATTATTCTTGTTATTTGCTTAAAGCTGTTTTACAGTTCTGTAACCACTCAGAAGCCTGTATGTACATATGTATAATAAAATCACCTATTCTGACATCCACTGAGACCATGCAGCCGTTTGTCTTTTCCTCAAATTCGAACCATGACATTACCTTGTGATGTCATAGACTAGGAGTGCTCCTGCCGCTCCTCTGTAGTAAGACCTGGTGATGGACCGGAACGACTCCTGACCAGCCTGGAGAAACACATGCATATATTAATAAACAGAAATTGAAAGCTGAATAATTGAAATGTCTGCAGACACCTGCAGAGTTGTCGGTTTTTCAAGGGCCCCAACAAAGACTTTGGCTTCACAGGTCTGCTTTTTTAGCTCTGCAATTCATTCAAACAGCTGAGCTCTTCTGCAAGCTCCCATGTCGTCTAGTCCTAATACATGTTATACATCAGTCCTGATTCTCTAGCAGAGTCCAGCTCTGGGTTTTCAGTCAGCTGGGGAGAGGACAGGACAGAGCACAGCCTGTAATCGGATACAATAGAGTTCTCTTTCATTCTCAATCTATCTTTCACAATCCCTTTCTTTCTCTCTGCTTGTATGTCTAACCTTGCTGTTTCTCCATATTTATGATGAACAGAAGGACTAGCTCTGCTAGTCAAGCTGGCTCTCTGGGTCACCTTGTTCAGTGAACCCCACTACATTATTATCATCCCCTCGTTATCTCACTTTTTCGATGTCTTTCTTCGATCACTTAAAAGATGAGTGATCGAAGAAAGACATCTTTCCTTCATTATTTTCATCATCCGGTATTCTTACAACCCCCCCCCCCCCAGTGCAATATCTATTCATGTTCTCTTGCTATTCAATGTACAGTAACAATGTCGCCTGTGTTCGTCCAAGCCCGAGCAGAAAACAAAACGACACTCTATCCTAGCAGCTGCAAGTCCCATGCTGCTCTGACCTCATCTGAACACCAGACAGTCAGAAAGACAGGGAGGTGAATCATTCAGCCAGTCAGGGGACCAGGCTGTCAACGTCTCACCCAGCGAAGCAGTTGGTTTGTGAGTCAGAAAACTAGTGAGGACAGCCAACAAGCTGGGTAAGTTAACCAGATAGAAAGCCATTCAGAAGTTTGGTCAGCCAGTGCAGCAAACACCAAGTTAGCTGGTCACTAGAGCAGTCTGCGAGATGTTCAAGGAGCAGTCAACCAGTCAGTAATGCTATTAGTGAATAAATGATAAATAAGGGTGAAAGAGAGGGAACGCTGTGCCTGTCTGCCATCTGGTCAACAGGCGTGCATAAAGAAACGCACAAGCATACATGTGGCAAGTGCAGCCTGCACAATAACCCAAGTGGTTTCTCTAACTATTAGGAGATTATGTACTATACAAATCAAATTTGTTGCTGAGATTTTCACTTTGGCCAAACCCAGAAAACCAGCTAAAGACAATAATCTCACTGGTGGGCCCCCCAAAATGCACTATCCTGGGACCAGAGAACCAGGACTGAAATGCTGGTCCCTTTTCTCACACTGCTTCCTTAAGATCAGAGAACAGGTATTCACAGAGCTCTAACGCCATCTGCTGGTTAAAGCTGTAAGTGCAAGCTGTGAAAAATCACAGTCCACCAATCCAAAAGTCACAATGTTACATCATTTTCTGGGACTGTCCCATAATGCAGGCATGCATTTTAGATAAACAAACAAACAAACAAACAAACAAACAAACAAACAAACAAACAAACAAACAAACAAACAAACAAACAAAAAGGGTCCTTGCTCTGCAGTGCTGCACATAAGTTAAATAATAATAAAAGAATAATAATGTCGCAGTTTTTGGAAAAAATAAAAGCCAAACAAAATTCAATACATTCCTGCCACATTATACTAACAAGCTTGAAACCTTCATTTATAAGACTTAAATACACTTACAGTTGAGGAAACAAATTCAAGTTATATTTTCTGTTTGAAAAAGAAAAGGTAGAAAAACAGTATATGTATTACCGTATCCCAGATTTGCAATTTGATCTGTTTGCCATCTATAGTGATCATCCTCGCGCCGAATTCCACACCTGCATAGACACAATCACAGAAGATGGGTGAATAACCCTTTCTAAATAAAAGCTACACAGATCTTACACAGAAGACTTTTTTCTTAACTGTTAATTATCTGTTGATGGATTCTGATAGCAATCAAATGCTTTTAAAAAGACATGCGTCTGTATTCAAGCTAGAGGTCGATTCTATATAATATCCATTATCATCTGCCTGCAGGCAATGTGCAGGATATGGATAACGTCCTTAACATTATCGCAGTTTGACAAGTAAGTACTTGAAACACCTCAAAAGCTTTGCAGATCGGCCATTTGTTGATTTTAACCGAGATGATGAAAATCCATTTATAATTTCTGTTGGAGAAGTCAAACCCAGCACATCGGGGTCAATGACAGAGTTTCAGAAATAGTTTTACAATTTTCAAATGACACTGCTATGCTTTTCTTACTGCACAAGCGTATAGATCCCTCAGCCTAGTTCACAGGAAGAGAGATTTGTGGAGAGGTCTGATGCCAGACATTTTATTTTAAATATGAGCAAAGCTGAGGAGATGGACCCACTTGGACTTATCTCATACTCTCCAGATCCACCTTTATACAGACCATGAAGAGTACCACAATGTAAACACAACCTTAATCAATCTTATCTACAATCTTAAATAATGCTGATGGAGGCTGTGGGGCTTGTGTGATGGCTTCATGCTGTTCTTGTCACACAACCAGTGATCGCAAGTGGTATGCATAATGTGTGTAATCTGAGGTTTGAATTTCTACATGGCATAACACTTGATAAGGATTATAGCTGCTATAATTACTGGGTCATCTGTGTTTTGAGCCCAACATAAATTGCCCCACAGACACAATAAAGTATACATTGCATTGTGCTTAAGATCAAATTTGAAGTTGAAATCACATATCTGCTCTTAGGCCAAAGGCTAAAATTGGATGTAAATATTGGCTTTATATTTTATTTATTTATTTATTTATCAGTGGCTCCTCCCCTGTAGCAGGGGTGGTGTTCCGGCTGAAGCTGCTTTACAAAGCATGTGATTTCCAACTCATTCTTTCATTGTACATAGATCACACGAGCTGGCAAGAGATCCAGTATATGGCTTAGGCCGCTGACCCACTCGGATTTAAACAGCACTATGGAACTCAGCACTGCTGAGAATCCATAGAGGGCAGGGGTGGGTTTTTATTTTGATGGGCACACCGTGCAGCCAATCACATCCAAAGAAGGGCTGTGTGAAAGAAGGAAGGGGGCAGACGTTTTGTGGTGGTACAGACCAGGTACACAAGTGTGTCGAGGAAAAATGAAGAAGCGAGCGAAAACGTAAAATGAGCAGCATCTGCATTTCAATAACACTGGAGACTGCAAAGCTGAGAGCTGGCTTTATGGCCATTCATACTGCACAAAGTAATCAAGCAATTTTCTGTAACGGATGCAATTGTAAGAGGTTATTCCTCTCTGTCAAATCTACTGGAGTTGTACACAGTAAAATCTGAATTATCTGAATATCAGAAGGGTTTTGGTTAACTCAGCATCTAATTACTTTTTACTTAGTTTTTTATGTTGTTAACATAGCATCAGCTATATTGCTTTTACTTTACTTTAGTCTGACCTAGTCTATCAAGTTTAATTAGTAAAAGTAATCTAATTATGCTTTATGTCTTTATTATAAATGATGCAGGTGGTCTTACCGATGGTGAGGTCGTGAACTGGCTGAAACCTCTTGTCTGTGAACTGTAGTAATAGACATGACTTTCCCACACCTGAAAAAAAAAGTACACAAACAGAATTAAAGGGGATTCATTCATATGCTGACAATAAAATACACTACAAGTCAGAGCCACTGCTGTTTGTAGGTTGGCAAAACACCAAGTTACAACTCTTACATTTTTAATATGAGACAACTGGAGTCAACATCATGTTCAAATGACCCAGCAGGGAGCACACCATTTCATCAGCTTTGCTCCAGTTAACTAACTATTAGCAAGCTAACTGAGCTATAAAAGGTGGCTAATTTTTATGTAGCCAAAAGGGCACTAATGAGCGTGCCTATTTTCAATGGCAATCCACACATACCTTCAGCTCTGAATGTGGCAAACTCCCACAGATACACAAACACTTACAAAAGCAACACTTTCATTGTTCATAATTCTGTTTTAGGTATATTATTCTCAACTGAAAAAAAACCCCAAAGCGAAACAGCGAGTTAGGAAGTCAGATGACAGGTGTTTGCAAATGCAATCATTAAATCAAAGACACATTGACTTAACTGCATTACAAACTACAGATGGAAATGGTGAGCAGATTCTCAGAGCGAGTGCGAGCTGTAATTTCCTCAACACAAATATCTAGAAGCATGACAAACACACTCAACAGGTTTGGTGCCACAGTACTTCTACAACATTTTAAAAAAGTTAGTCACTTGTCACTGAGATGTGTGTGTGTAAGTGTGTAGTAAAAAGAACATTTCCTTTAGTGAAGAGCAGTTACGAAAGCAAGGAAACAAAAGAAGAAAAAAATACAGCCGTAATTCCTGCCACCTTGAACCCATTGCCACCTCCAAGGCTAATATGCTACGGTGAGGAATCCCTTAAGGAAGAATATGGATGCCTATTGGTGAAGAGATGCATTTGAAAGCAAAGAAACTTTAACAACTCAACCTGATACCATTTTAACCCTTTTATAAAAAGACCAAGAGTGTCAGGAACATTCAAGAAAATGGAGAATGCTGGTATAGAATGATTTACTCAGCAAATATGGTACGTAAGGCTTTGGAGTCAAAGGGTTTGGGAGTGTGTGAACATATGTGTGTGTAAGAAGAAAAACAGGAGGAGGAAGTGGGGGAGGGATGACCACAGGAGAATAAAAGAGAACGTTAAGGAGACAGTAGCTGGCAGAAACTCAAGGAGGTGCGACATGGTCTTCCTCTTCCAAGGTTTCCACGGGTCACAAGTTGCTAAGCAGGGCCTGTGCGACGACGCTGTTGCTAGTAAGGGATGGAGGGATCTCGAGAAAGTTAAATAAAGGTGTAACAGTGAAGTCATTGTTACCTCCGTCAGTCAACAGACACCTGCTCATAGCCACTCTTGCACTACTAAAGCAACAAAACAGTAATAGCAATCTTTCTAATTAGCCACAATGCAATTAACATACATTTTAACATAGCAGAACCTTTCATTTCTGACAAGAGGTAACAGCTTGATGGCTGTGACACAGAGCAAAAGCAACCTGTCTACAGGGGCCTAGAATCAAAGCATGCTGTGTCTTTAAATGCAGAGCATGGCTACAATTGGAGTCATAATTAGTGACTGTGATAGGTTTCTGTGAATGTGCTTTCAAACAGTCTAGCTCTCACCAGATCTCGTCACACAGAGGAAAATTTGGACATACATGCTGGGTTGTCAGACAACAAAAGGAACATGTTGACTGGATTACTGACAGGTGGAATAATTAAATTGCGCTTTTTGAGCAAACACCAGTATGACTCAACAAATGTGATCCACTAACAAGTAAAAATATCCACCTCCCATAGTTGTGGCAAATAACAAAATCTTTAATGATGGTAAATGGCCTGTATTTTTATAGCGCTTTTCTAGTCCCTAAGGACCCCAAAGCGCTACACAACCTGTCATCCACCCATCCACCCATTCACACACTGATGGGAAAGCTCTCACAAAAGCCTGAACAGTGGAGCTTTGACCTTTAGCAACATT